ACATTTAATGAACAAGTCTGCCATCACAATTTAGTTGTCTAAATTGCTGTATATAAACAACCTTAAGTTGTTTATATAATTTTAAAAAAATGAGATTAGTGGTTATCTGTTGCAATGTTCTTGTTGGTTACAAAAACATGTTATTTGTGAAAATTTTACTATTTTTATTATATAAAGTATGTACTGAAGAGATGTAAAGCCCAATATGCATTTACATTAAGAATGGTATTAAAATCGTTTGGATGATACTCCCCTTTGCTAGTCCTTGTCAGTTAGAAGAAATGTAGCTGTTCACATTGGGTTTCAAAAAATACGTTTTTTAGTTTTCCAAATTTACAATGTATTTTGGGATTGAGTAGAGCAAGTTTCTTCTTATTATTTACTGAAAAATATTTCATTAAAGTGTAGATAATAGGAGAAGTCTGTCATAATGATGATCGATCTAGTCCAGTGGTCACCAAAATTATCTCATGGACTATCCCGATAGTCTGTGAGAAAATTTTGGTGGTCCATGGAGAAATTTGGACATTGATTAATTTGAGGTTATGCAGAGTATTACAAAAGAAATGCAAAATGCTTGGTTTAAAAACCCTAGTAATAACTTGAGAATATTTTTTGTATGCATAACCTGTTATAAGTGATAACTTTCATTTTTTTAAATTCAAATATTGTTCATTGTATACAGGTTTACTGGAGCCAAAAAAATAATATTGCTTTTATGGGTGTTTTATTCATAGTTTTAAAATTGGTTTGTAGTAGCCGAGAATTTGATATATGCAGATTAGTTAAAAGTGAACACTACTGTATTTTTGACTATTACTTTTTATCTGCATGTCATAAATATATAAAATTATTATACAGTACACATAGTATGGAAAGATCTTTTTATTTAAACTACAATCATAAACAGTTCAGATATTACATTATAGTTTTTATTGATATTTATATTGTCATTTTGATTTTCAGTTTACTTACTTGTTTTTGAAAATTTAATTACTTGTAAATAATAATAAAAATAGAAAATTATTAAAATCATTACAGTTGAAATAAAAATATAGTCAAACCTCAGTTTTTGAATATAATTCACTCCTAAAAGTTGTTCCAAAAGTGAAACAAATTTTACCATAAAGAACAATATAAAATGGATTAATCTGTTCCTGACCACCAAAATAAAGTTTTTTTTTTTTAGCTGTATTTCATGCAATTAGTAGGGGACTGACACACTGTGGATTAGAAATTTCTATGGCAAAATATAATGTACGATACAAGATAAATTACACTTAAAATGTGTTTGATTAGAAATTTCTACAGTGATGTATGATAGAATTATTTTTTTTTTTGTATTCTATAGCAATACTTAAAATTATTACTAGATTGGGTTTTAATATATTTTTGATTTACAATCAAGAGTTATTTTTTCGTCTGCAAGAACATGGAGTAACAGGGTATTGGTGTTGTTATTTACATAGAAATCTTTAAGTTGCTGATATTTTAAAACATAACAACAAGAAAGACAATTTTGGAATTTTTCTATGAAATATTTGGAAAATAATTGATACCAAGAAACTAAATCCCAATCCAATATATCTTGTAAATCAGTTAAAGTATCAGTAATTAAATGTTGATAGTGTAGAAGTATTTTAATATCTAATTTTTGTATGTTATTTTTAAAGAATGTACTTGATAGATTTTGGTATCGCAATATTATTTCCCAATCAATAGAATGACTATATTTATTAATAAATTTATGTTTGATACTGAGAAATTAAATTCCATTTTGCATATTTAATATTTCTTTCAATAAATGATGTGGAAATTTATAATTTTTCCATATATAATTTCAATTTAATTTATCAGCAAAGTCATAAATAAATTGCTGACTGAAATTAGATCTTTGACTTATTTCCTAGTTTACAAATTCTTTAAAATAACGAAAGCTGTTTTTATTTACTGGTAAAGAAGAATATTTTTCCCAATCAATCGACATGGTAGGAGGTGTGTATTTTGTAAGTCTACGAAAAAACAACTGGCTATATAATTTTTTTATTTTGTAATTGAATATAAAAAAATTTTTATTTGAATATAAAATTAGTTTTACAATATATTTGTTCATAAAATTATGTACAGCTTTCCAATGTTAAAATTAGGAGAAGTAAATGTTAACATATATTGATGTTTTAAACATTTACCACAACAAGGATTTCATTGTTACAATAACAATTCTTTTTACAATCACTAATTTCAACATTTTTGTTATTACATTCATCATCACTAATCTCAATAATCTCAACTTTTTGTTGTCATCAATTTCAATTATATTTTCTACATAACTTTCTTCTGTGATTTTATTTCTACTAATATAATTTTTGTACATTCCTCATTGGTTTTAAAAAAAAAAATTTCTAATAGTGTTGGATAGTAAATTTTTTCAAAAATAATTTGAGCTATTACTTCTCCGCCATTTATTATAAAGTCATCATAAAGTTATATATTAATATTCCAATGTTGTCTTTGTAATCAGAATCAATAACACTTGGATTGATTAATATATTGTGATTTAAGAACCATGATGATTTTCTAGCTATTCTTCCAAGACAATTGTGAAACCACCGGAAGGGGAGTAGGTCTCCCGATCCGGCAACAGGTTGTTAAAACCTTTCACTGTCAGGATGGGTGGATGGAGTCTTTTCCCCGCAGTAACGGGCTTTAATGTTTCGGGTCGAGTGGCGGAGGGAGGAGCGCGTCGGTGAGACGACAGGCGATATACGAGTAAACGAGGAGGCCAGGTGTAACATAAGAAAAATTAACAATTTATTAACGCAAGTTCGGATAGTACATCGTCTAGTTCGCATCCCTAAACCGCGGAAAGACCGAGAGAGAGCTTACAATAATTGGTTCCATACCTCTTGATCTGTTATCCACTCTACTCTTTGAATTAGGAAAGTTCACTGGTTAAAAATTCACTGGTTAGGAAAGTTCACTGATTAGGAGAGTTTTCTGGTTAAATATTTAAATCGATGATTAAGGAAAGTTCACTGATTAAAAAGGACACTATTTTTAAAGTTATCGGCTCCTGGCACCTGCTCTGGAACGACTCCCCCGAGAAGGGGAAGGAAGGGGTTTTTATAAGATCGGCGTGGGAGAATGGTCACGTGATTGATTGTTGTGAGNACGAAAGCTGTTTTTATTTACTGGTAAAGAAGAATATTTTTCCCAATCAATCGACATGGTAGGAGGTGTGTATTTTGTAAGTCTACGAAAAAACAACTGGCTATATAATTTTTTTATTTTGTAATTGAATATAAAAAAATTTTTATTTGAATATAAAATTAGTTTTACAATATATTTGTTCATAAAATTATGTACAGCTTTCCAATGTTAAAATTAGGAGAAGTAAATGTTAACATATATTGATGTTTTAAACATTTACCACAACAAGGATTTCATTGTTACAATAACAATTCTTTTTACAATCACTAATTTCAACATTTTTGTTATTACATTCATCATCGCTAATCTCAACAATCTCAACTTTTTGTTATCAATTTCAATTATATTTTCTACATAACTTTCTTCTGTGATTTTATTTCTACTAATATAATTTTTGTACATTCCTCATTGGTTTTAAAAAAAAAAATTTCTAATAGTGTTGGATAGTAAATTTTTTCAAAAATAATTTGAGCTATTACTTCTCCGCCATTTATTATAAAGTCATCATAAAGTTATATATTAATATTCCAATGTTGTCTTTGTAATCAGAATCAATAACACTTGGATTGATTAATATATTGTGATTTAAGAACCATGATGATTTTCTAGCTATTCTTCCAAGACAATTGTGAAACCACCGGAAGGGGAGTAGGTCTCCCGATCCGGCAACAGGTTGTTAAAACCTTTCACTGTCAGGATGGGTGGATGGAGTCTTTTCCCCGCAGTAACGGGCTTTAATGTTTCGGGTCGAGTGGCAGAGGGAGGAGCGCGTCGGTGAGACGACAGGCGATATACGAGTAAACGAGGAGGCCAGGTGTAACATAAGAAAAATTAACAATTTATTAACGCAAGTTCGGATAGTACATCGTCTAGTTCGCATCCCTAAACCGCGGAAAGACCGAGAGAGAGCTTACAATAATTGGTTCCATACCTCTTGATCTGTTATCCACTCTACTCTTTGAATTAGGAAAGTTCACTGGTTAAAAATTCACTGGTTAGGAAAGTTCACTGATTAGGAGAGTTTTCTGGTTAAATATTTAAATCGATGATTAAGGAAAGTTCACTGATTAAAAAGGACACTATTTTTAAAGTTATCGGCTCCTGGCACCTGCTCTGGAACGACTCCCCCGAGAAGGGGAAGGAAGGGGTTTTTATAAGATCGGCGTGGGAGAATGGTCACGTGATTGATTGTTGTGAGGTAAAAGGTACTCAGACGGGTCAGAGTTGTTCCCGGGACCATGCTAACTATCAACTTTGGCGTTGGAATGCGGGATTAGTTTCGAATTGAACGGATGTTTATGTCGAACATAAACGAAAAGTTTTTTTTTTTCCCCGTTAGGTTTCACTTTAAGTTAAAAGAAAATTTAATTAGATTTTAAGCAAATACGGGACAATTAATCGACAAATAATCGGTAAAAATTCCGAATCTCACATTCACTCCCCGTTTTCTTTAAAATCGCACTTAGTAGTGTGATTTTAACCTTTCTGATTGGTTTGTCTGGGTAGAGGGGTGTTTACATAGAGAATGGTTCAAATGACCCTTTGCTCTCTTTTTTTTCTCTCTCTCTTTTGGCACCAAAAAAAAATTCTTTCGGTTACATAAAAATGTCGCGTCGAAAATAAAAGCGATAAAAGAATCCGATGTGAAATTTAACACATTGATTATACAAATAAATCCCGGCACGTGTCATTCGCGACAATATTTATTACTCGAGGTGAGAGGACTGATGTCTTCAAGCTGGAGTGGTTGATTGGTCAGTTGAAGTTCCCGTTGACCTGGATACGAGGGTACGGGTCAAAGTTCGATAGGGTCGAGATTGTGCTTTGTCTCAAAGTTCTTGGTTTCGTCAGTTGGATTCTGATGTGCACGAGGTTGTTTTGTCGACGATATAACACTCTCAAGCTGATTCTAGACTAGGAGTAAGTAGATTGTTGTTATTTTGTAGTGGCGATCAGGTTAGAACTTCCGGGGCGATAGGTTGATTGGCACTTCGAAGTGTCAGAATAGTTGAGGAGTCACGTGCGTTGGACGTCTTCGGCTTAAGAGGTGAAAAGTAGCACTTTTCTTTGATTAAAACAGTAATAAAAGTTAATAATAATGGAAAAATAATCACTGAGGCCCTTATAGAGGTATATGGAGGTTACATATATTATTTTTACTCTCTCTCGGATTTAAAATTTTAAATTTAGGATATATATAAATCTAGGAAAATTTTTAAAATTATAGGAAAGGTTCCGTTTATAAATTCGAACGCCGAGAAATATAAATTCGGAACGCCGAATAACTGGAAAAATAAAAAAAAAATAATACAATGGTCGTTGTCGAGCGTCGACTAAGGTTAATAGCTTTGAACAATAAGTTTGTGTGCTATTTGGGTAGAGTCGCCTCGGGGAGCGATTTCTCGGGAAGTGCTTGGTTGCGGGTTGTGTTTCTGTTGACTTTTTCTTTCGTTGAGGGAGATGTTTTCTGGGTCGGTTTCTGTAGGGTGCGGTTGAGGTGGTGACTGACGTTGTTTCTGTTGAAGGTATCAACGAATGATATAATAAAAACATCCTCCCATAACAACAGTACCTAAGCAACTGGTGATTACCGTTATGACGGTTGAGAGGTAGGATGGAGATGTTGATCTAGTTGTCATCTGTAATAGGTGATTGAGGTCATAAGTGACGTCTGATAAGGATCGGTCTGCTAACTTGATATCGTAATCGGCGTTTAATTTTTCCTCTTCTTGGGTTTGTGGTTCGAGGAGACGTTTTTGAAGGATTTGTAGTTCCGTTTGGTTTAAAAGTTGTTCAATTTGGGGAACAACTAGGTGTTGTGCGACCTCTAGTTGTAAGGTTGATTGTCTTTGAAATTGTGAGGTTAGGATGATTCCGGGTAGGTAACCGGTACATGCAGTTGGGAGATTAATCCTTCCCGTATGATTCAATTTGTGTGTTGTAGATATATAAGGTGCTTTCTGAGGTCTTGTAGGACATCTAATAGTTAAGGTGAGAGGTTCAGGTGTGGAATAAATCCAGGTTCCCTGTCAATCGATTCTTTTAAAAATTGGAGTATATTTTGCAACGATTTGTCGAACACATAGTTCTTTAACTTGGGGTTCGATTCCATTAAATAAAGCATATTTACAACTTTGGTGAGGAAATCGCTGGATCGGAACAGTCAACGAACAAATAGGTAAATGATCTATCTTGCACATGGCGAGTTCGAATCGTTGGAGCAACATATACAATTGTCTATCCATAGACAGAGCAATTATAGGATATTCGGTTTGAAATTGGAAAAAAGTTCTTAACATAGGGATGTACGTTGGAAATTTGACAATTTCATACATATCAAAATTATCCACTGGGAGTAATTAAGGGAATTTTTGTGAAAACTCGTAGATTACCAGGTAAAGCTACTGTGACGGTAGTCAGCCGCTGGTAATATTTAAACAACGTATCCGGTTGGATAGGTTCGATCATTGCGTAACCTTCTGGAAGTTGAAGTTGAATGTCTCTTAGACTTTTTAACATTACTTCTCGTGAGATAAAGTATGTACTTAATCAACCTTGTTCCAAAATATCAATGGCTTCTCGTAATTCTACTACTTGGAAATGAAATTCTTGAACGGAGAATTTGATCGTTTGTAGAATTATCTCAGAGGCTAGGTTATATTGGTATAAATTCATGACTTCTCCAAAATATTCTTGTCGTTTAAATAATATATAGATCTGGTGTCTATTATGCTTGCTTATATTTAGGGTATCATTTAATAAGGTCGTTTGCGAACGCAATAAGTGAAGAATTCCTTCGTTACGCTGTTTAATGTTCGATATTTCCTTATTCAAGGCTTCAATTTCTTCGGACGTAGCTGTTCCGAAGAGGAATTTGAGGGCTTTCCCTCCTATGTCTATTAAGCCTCTTCTTCGTTTAGGAGATGGGTTTAGAGTAACTAGGTCAGTAAGTTCTTTATATCCCTTATGATAGGTGAGGAATGAAGCTCGGAGGAGTTCAAAACCTTTTGTAGGGAGATTCCATTGGGTTTTAGGATTTTTATCCTTTGGGGTTGTATGTTTTCGTTGTTGGATCATGGCATCTAAATAGGATAAAGCTTGTGAGATGAATTGAATCTGTCGTTCCACATGTTCAAAGTTGAGTTTGGTGACCAGGGTCCAGTGACTTGTGGTCATCAAAAAATTTCCTTGGTGAAGGAAAAGTACTCCTTTAGAAAATTCTACGTGGGTTGATGCAGGTTTCATGGCCGTAGACTTGATACTGAGGATAAGAAAAGTGATTTGGAGATAATTCGTTTTGGCTCCGTAGATGATGTCACCGTCACTTTAGGTCAGTTTGGTTCAGGTTCACCCTTAGTGTATGAGAAGTTTCTTCCACTAGAATAGGAAATATTTTTATTGATTGTAAAGGTTCCCTCGGGAAAAATAAATTTGATCAAACCAAATTTAAGCTACGACTAAATTGTACAACATACTACAGGGTAATGTAGTTGATGCCCTTCCAATATTTCACCATTTTAGTCCCGATCCAAAGGAGAAGATGGTGAGAGAAATCAATCGAGGTATACGACTTCGAGTGGGTCGTGACATAACCCGAGGTTGATTTTCCATTATTCCTTGCTTTCGGAATACATATGGAGGAGTAATTTCTGGTTTTCCTTCCGGTTCCGATTCTTGCTCAATGTCATTGCCCTCAATTTCGCTTTCCGGGAGTATGGAGGCTAAATTAAAGTCCTCCTGGGAAAACGTAAGGGGTTGTGAGGTTATCATTAATGAATTGTCTTCCGAGGTTATGGTGGGCGATTCGATGGTCACCTCTGTGTGATCTTGCGGAGTTATAGGTTGCTTGAATTTTTTCCGGCTTCTTGCCCTCCGGTTTGGTTTCGTTCTCCGCTTTTCTCTTTTGGTGTGAGCTGTTTGTCTAATTTGGAGGATATCCATAGAAGGTTTCTCCCTTTCAGTTTGGGGTTTTGATCTACGCTTCCTTGTGCGCGGCCTTTGAGAAGTGCAAAAATGGATTTGTTTTCCATGGGACAGCACCACCTGGGCATGGTCACGGTCAAATGTCAGTTTCGCCGCCTTTATGATATCTAGGCCTAAGATTCCGTCGCAGGGAGTAGTAATATCGTCTCGTACCACATCGCAAGGTACCATAAATTTCTGGCCTCTTAATTTAAATGTGGGCCTCGCCGTTCCTATAATCGTTGTTTGCCTTCCCAGGATGGGTCCTAATTTTCGTTTAAGGCCAAATTTTACGTAAGTTTTTCCCTTCAATCTGTTGGCTAGGTTCTTTGATATGAGTGTATAGTCCACTTGAGGGTCAATTTGCATTTTAACCGGAATATTATTCACATAGATTTGTATAATAGGGTTTTGGGTTTCAACGATTCGAGTGAACCCTATTCGTCCTTTCCATCTTGTCTCGGTTTCCTCTGGAGGGGTTCTTCCGATAGAACAATCAAATATAGACTCATTTGGTGACGTTATATAATTAGTGTTAGATATAGGATATATGTTTCGAGGAGAAAATTGAGGTCGTCCTTTGATGCTTTGAACATGGCCTTTCCAACGGTTTTGCGTTGGTTCCGTAGGTTGCGATCGGAATCGGACCCGATTTTGGTCAGTTCCTGCGTCGTTTCGCCGTGGGGATTCGTTTCATAGGCAGGCGCCTTGATTATCATTATGATTTCTTCGGCGAACAGGAAAATTCTGTGTCCGATTTTGGTTAGGTCGGTTATTCGATTGATTAGGTCGACTATACGACCGATATTCGTTACGCCTAAAAGCAGGAGTGGGATATGCTCTACTATTACTATTCCCTCGCTGATTTCGATTAAACGGCACATTTCTAGAGTTGAGTCGAGAAGGGGCTCCAGTTAAACCGTCCATTCGCGTTTTCAACTCCTCCATCGCTGCTGTTAATTGTTGTAGGTCATTGGGTGAAGGAGAGGAGTGTGTTGTTCGGTCGCCTTCCCTAACAGTGCGCAAGATCCCACGCGGACGTGCCGTAATATTTTCTATCATCTCCTCGCTAATAGCGGCCTTTTCCGTTCGCCTCACCGAAGTTCCGAAGAAGTCCTGTGGGGTTCTGACTTCTTCGAAACTTCGGTGAACCAATTTGTGAAACCACCGGAAGGGGGGGTAGGTCTCCCGATCCGGCAACAGGTTGTTAAACCCTTTCACTGTCAGGATGGGTGGTTGAAGGGTTCTTTTTCCCGTTGTAACGGGTCGAGTGGTGGAGGGAGGAGCGCGTCGGTGAGACGACAGGCGATATACGAGTAAACGAGGAGGCCAGATGTAACATAAGAAAAATTAGCAATTTATTAACGCAAGTTCGGGTAGTACATCGTCTAGTTCGCGTCCCTAAAACGCGGAGAGAACGAGAGAGAGCTTACAATTGGTTCCATACCTCTTGATCTGTTATCCACTGAGGACAATTCTCTTTGAATTAGGAAAATTCACTGATTAGGAGAGTTCACTGGTTAAATATTTGAATCGATGATTTAGGAAAGTTCACTGATTAAAAAGGACACTATTTTTAAAGTTATCGGCTCCTGGCACCTGCTCTGGAACGACTCCCCCCGAGAAGGGGAAGGAAGGGGTTTTTATAAGATTGGCTTGGGAGAATGGTCACGTGATTGTTGTGAGGTAAAAGGTATCAGATGGGTCAGAGTTGTTCCCGGGATCGTGCTAACTATCAACTTTGGAGTTGGAATGTGGGATTAGTTTCGAATTGAACGGATGTTTATGTCGAACATAAACGAAGAGTTTTTTTCCCGTTAGGTTTCACTTTAAGTTAAAGGAAAATTTAATTAGATTTTAAGCAAATACGGGACAATTAATCGACAAATAGTCGATAAAATAATCGGTAAAAATTCCGAATCTCACATATTGAAAGAAATATTAAATATGCAAAATGGGATTTAATTTCTCAGTATCGAACATAAATTTATTAATAAATATAGGTCATTCTATTGATTGGGAAATAATATTGCGATACCAAAATCTATCAAATACATTCTTTAAAAATAACATACAAAAATTAGATATTAAAATACTTCTACACTATCAACATTTAATTACTGATACTTTAACTGATTTACAAGATATATTGGATTGGGATTTAGTTTCTTGGTATCAATTATTTTCCAAATATTTCATAGAAAAATTCCAAAATTGTCTTTCTTGGTGTTATGTTTTAAAATATCATCAACTTAACGATTTCTATTTAAATAACAACACTAATACCCTGTTACTCCATGTTCTTGCAGACGAAAAAATAACTCTTGATTGTAAATCAAAAATATATTAAAACTCGATCTAGTAATAATTTTAAGTATTGCTATAGAATACAAAAAAAATAATTTTATCATCCATCACTGTAGAAATTATTTCTAATCAAAAACATTTTAAGTGTAATTTATCTTGTATCGTACATTATATTTCGCCATAGAAATTTCTAATCCACAGTGTGTCATTTCCCTACTAATCATGCATAAAATATGTCTACAAATGCAGTAAAATATTAATAAATTTTTATTTAATTTACTTTAAGCATATTTAAATGTGAATTTTGGATGCCATTTATATTATGTGTCAATTAATGCAGATAATAATTAATTAATTTGATTTAGATTCAACAGTGACATGTACCAAAAAATGGAAGTAGTAACTTTCCTGCGTGTGCATTGAAATCTAATTTAAATAGCAACGTCATCGATGATTTGTGTCACAATGTCTAATGACGCAAGGCAACCTCAGTGTCAACTAACTACTGATTCAGACTTATTAAAAAAAAAAAAAGTTGATGGCTGCTATCAACTCATTATTACTAGATCGAGTTTTAATATATTTTTGATTTACAATCAAGAGTTATTTTTTCGTCTGCAAGAACATGGAGTAACAGGGTATTAGTGTTGTTATTTAAATAGAAATCGTTAAGTTGATGACTCATAAAAAAAAAGTTGATGGCTGCTATCAAGTTCTATGCATTTGCTAAAACTATTTAAAATGACTAAGAGTAACAGACCACAGTATACCTGAAGAAGGTCGAAAACATTTGTACTCAGTGTTTAATTAAGAAACTAAGTGAGAAAGTTTTGTCTTAGTCATGGCCATCAACTTTTTTAACATAAGAAATTAGGGGATCAATCTTGCTATGTGAATAATTTATGGCAGCTCTTGCTGGGTATCTTGTTAGGCAACTGAGTTATCGTACAGCAACCAGTGCAGTTATGAGTTTGAAATTCTATTCGTGAACTGAAGTTTGACATTACTTATTTTTATTCAAATATGTAAAATTATTTATATTTTGGTTTTAGGTTATGAAGCACTGTAAACTATACAAAGAATTGTTTAATAATGAATGTTCCTTAAGCCCATATAATCAAAGTAAACGAAAATTAAAGCGTGACCATAAGGTAATGTTATTTATTAAAGCTTTTGTTTCAATAAGGAAATAAAATCATATTTATTTTACTTTAATGAACTTAAAATAGAAAATGTTATACTGAAAAGATAAATAATAGCATTAAGACTTAAGTATACACTAATGAAATAAAGAAGCTAAGAAATACACTAAAGTTGATGAACATTTCTAGAACTTCTGAGTCCCATCTTCAGATCTACTTGAAAATTGACTTTTTTATTTAAACTGCTGTAGAACATCTGCATCAATTTGAATGTATGACTATTTCAGGAGGCAGATGTCAATCACTGCATAAAGCATTAGAAAATTAACAACAAAGCTATAATTCTGTACAGTTTATATAAAATAGTTCATTTTCAAGCATCTTTATTCATTGAATTTTCAAGTGAATCTGCAGATGGGTCTCAGAAGTTTTATCTTTATCAAAACTACTTCTGAATTGCAAAATATTTCTTGACTCTGTTATTTTCATTAGTGTTTGCTGAAGCCTTAACATTGTTATTTATGTATGGACTTGTGAGGTCCAAAACTCCCTCACTTGCTTACGTGTTTTTGCACTCTTTCTCTGTGAAAAACAGAGTTGTAAATGGTAATTTGTGTCAAACTCTTAAGTGGGAGAGACAATGTCATAGTGAAAAATTAAGCCAAGAAAGTGGCTGATGATGTCTGAGTTTGTAAGCAAACAATTTTGAGTTTAAATGCACAAAAAGAAAAATGACGAAAACACTTCGCATGTCAGTTAAGTAATTAGTCCAGATGTCGCGATTCTCAAGCAATAAAACACCTTTCCTAATTAATGGCTATCATCCCAGGGAGTTTGCAAGTAAACATTGGAGAAAGTGATAGCCCCGGTATGGGAGTGAGGTAGATGCCCATCCCTTCTGACCTAAATTCAGCCCTTAGCAACAGAACAAAAGCCAATAAGGAGAAGGAAGAGTCAGATCATCAACAATTGAAATCAATGATTCAAGTCTGAATGAGATAAAACTCTGCGTTGGCTACAACCACACCGACAATCCTAAGGTTGTTGGTGTAGATGTCACCAGCACAGAAGTTGTTGTCATGTGTCACAGCCATCTTGCACAAATGTTGATTCCATACCTCATAGAGAGATCCACTATCTCCTCAGGGTGATTCAGCACTTCAACGAGAGATCAACCATCTCTGTTTCAACCCAGTTAACCTGAATGAGAGAGCAACCATCTATTTAACCAGATCATGGATATCATTCTTACAATAAATGGTGTAAATGGGAAGAATTGACAAATTTATTCATGTCAACAATTATGAAGAGTGAGAGTAATATAAGATCAGAATAATCCTTCAGAAATCCATTCCTAGGACAAATTCTGAATTTAGTATAGTTTCTAAATCTGAATTTGTTCATATTGTAAATCATATTGGTGATGAAATTAAACATTTAAATGGAAAAGAATTGCTATTAACTACCAAACAACAGTTATTGATGGCCTTATGATTTTATGCTACCAGAAGCTTTTAGAGGATAGCTGGTGACCTTATCAGATGTTTTTTAAGATGTTGCAAATGAATAATCTCATTAGTTGAATAATTCCCAAAAGAGGAGAGTAACAGTGAAGAAAGAAATAGCCAACATTTTGTGAAGTTCCTTTGGACAATGTTAATGTGAGGATCCGAATTCGGAAGTGTTTATATCATCTCATCATAATATCACATTGTAGTTCTACCTTCATTCCACGGTGTCATAAGATCACAGTACAGCTATACTTTTGTTTAATAACTGTCAACTTTTACAACTGGGAGCTAAACATCTGCTAAGTTCTCAGGCGTAATAACGACGCTTTCTCAGCACCTTTCGACCTAATAGCGCGATTTTAACAATTCAACATTAGACACGACAACAAA